AAGGAAATGCAAATTAAAACCACTTTAAGGTCTCACCTTACCCCAGTCAGACTGGCTAAGATCAAGAAAACATATGATACCAAATGTTGGAGAGGATATGGAGAAAGGGGAACACATATCCACTGCTGGTGGGCCTGAAAACTGGTTCAACCCCTAGGGAAAGCAGTGTGGAGAATTCTTACAAACTACAAATGAACCTACCATCTAACCCAGTTATACCACTCCTTCGTATATACCCAAATAGCTCATCCTATTGCAGAGACACTTGTAAATTCATGTTTGTTCCTGCTCTTTTCACAATACCTAAGAGATGGAAGCAACCTAAGTGTCCCTCAGCTGACACGTGGATAATGAAAATGTGGTTCATATATACAATGGAGTTTTACTCAGCAGTAAAGAAAGATGAAATCATGAAATTTGCAGGTAAATGGATGGAACTAGAAACTGTTATACTAAGTGAAGTAACACCAACTCAGAAAAAAAATAATGATATGTGTTCTCCCTCATATGTGGATCCTAGCACCAAATCCTGATCAGTGATTATGTATCCAGACACAGCTACAAGAACCAGGATAATGAAAAGTAACCAGGCAAGCAAAGGAAAAAAAAAAAACTGAAAGAGAAGAATAGTAGGGAACAGGTGTTAATAAAGGAGATATGCATTGTGTACTTTTTTTTCTTTTTAAATATTTTATTTATTGTTTTTATTTTTTGTGTATGTGTGTATTGCCTGCATGTAGGTAAGTGCACCTGTGTCATGCAATGCCTGCAGAGGACAGAAGAGACTGTCAGATCCCCTGGAACTGGAGTTACAGGCAGTTGTTAGATGCCATATGGTGCTGGGATTTGAACCCGTGTCTTCTACAAGAACAGTCAGTGTTCTTAACCGCTGAGCCATCTCTCCAGTCCCACTGTGTACTTTTTTCATATTTTTCTTTTTATTAATAAAACAATGGGAAAACTGAAGTTAAATTTGTCCTTTGTGTATTTCAAATTGTAAACAAATTGTCGACCACAATTACAAAGAAAGACATACTGAATTGACCTGGTGGCTAACTACAGATGCAAAATTCTCTTAATCACAGATTTTTAAATTTTGATGCTTTTGAGACAGGGTCTCCATGTAGCCTCAGCTGGCCTGGAACTTGCTATATAGACCAATCTCATAGAGATCTGCCTGCCTCTGCCTCCCAAGGGATTAGAGGCATGCACCACCATGTCCAGCTTGAACCACTTTTTAATATTACTTTGTTTTTATTTTATGTGTATGCATGTATTCCCTGCATGTATTTAAGTGCACCCATGTCATGCAATGCCCCCGGAGGATAAATAGAAGATGCTGTCAGATCCCTTGGACCGTTGTTATCTGCCATGTAGGTGCTGGGATTTGAACCCGGGTCCTCTGCAAGAACAGTCAGTGTTCTTAACTGCTGAGCCAACTCTCCATCCCCTGAATCCCT